TCCAGCTTAGTGATTCTGCGTTCAAAGAATGAAAGGTTCTTGATTGAGGGCAAGAACGAAAGTGAGACGAAGTTCCACAACTTGACATTACGGGAAAAGAGAAGATTAAGGTAGACAAGTACGACACTTGGTGACTGAAATCAGTCAAGGGTGACTAGCTACCTGTGTATGAAGTGGGCGGACCAATGTTTCAGGAATTGGAACTGTCGAGGCGAGCTCCGAAGAACAAAAACCGAAGTAGTAACCGTAGAGAATGGACAGTGAGGCAACTGCTCGACGATGGGCATGTGACTACAGATCGTAGGTAAACAAGAATTCTCGATCAGAGTCAGATGGCCTTTCGTCGAACACGACCACATAGGGAAAGGAAGAAGATAAAGCCCCATCCCCTCCCTAACTGCAGTATCTAAGAGCAGGGAGGATTTGAGCTTTGTACAATAGAAAATGAGTTGGGATGAAGCTTCTGGCGCAGAATGAAAAAAAACAACCTTAAGCGCAGCACGAGAAGCAAGCTGAGATATAAAATGGGACCAGCATAAAGAAGAAGTTATGGGTAATCCAAGAAGGTAAACGGAGTCTGTGGAATGCAGTTGAGGGGAATCGAAAGACAAGTGGGGGTGGGGGAATCAATGGTGTTTTAGAGAAATTGAAAGAAGAGAGGTTTTAGAAGCATTGAATGAAACGTGATTGACCTTGTCCCAGGAGAAGATGTGTTCGAAATCACAGTTCAATAATACATAAGGTGTACTCCGGTCATGATCGATTTTGGTTTGAGCATGGTGAATAGCGCGGTCAGAGAGGGAACCAGTGAAGTGTGACGTCCTCAGCAAAAGAATGGATTGGGTTGGCAGTTTGGGAAAGGAGATCATTGATAAATAGAAGGAAGAGGGTGGGCGCAAGTTATGAACCTTGATGAACACCAGCTTTCACAGGGAATGACTGAGATAGAACCCTGTCAACTCGGACGGAGATGGTTCACTTACCGAGGAAACTTGATATCCACGCTACGGGATCCGGAGGGACCCCGAACCTGGGCAGTTCCGCCAGTAAATCGTCGTGTCAAATTCGGTCGAAGGCCTTTTGAAATATCAAGCAAGATCAAATGTTTTTCCATGGTTATCGAGTTCAGCCAACGAGGATTGTCAGACGGTAGCCACCAGGTCACTGGTGGAAGCCATACTGTTAGCCGTCTAATAGTCCTTCACATTCGAGAAACGCACATAGTTGGTCGGAGATGATGGTTTTAAAAGCCATATGTGTGCCATATATGTGAGGAAATGAGTCACTAGTTGTTGGGGTCAGAAAGGGCAACTTATCTGGATGGTCACTTAGCAGCACAAGGTCCTCCACATAATCCGGATCAATAGTACTATCTTCGCACGAGGGTAGGGCTGTTTCAAGAAATAAACTATAACAAAGGTAACTAGAAGCAGAGATAGAGAGAACAACCCCGACGAACACCGTATTCGGTGGTGTACTCGAGCGAGAAAATACCATAAGTTCGGCTCAGTGACCATTGCATTCTTATTGTTAGACCAAAGGTTATATTCTCACACTGCTTGTCAAACATTATAATTGGGTAAAATCCAAAGATTATTCAAATTCCAATCTAATCAGGTAAATTTCATCCAAGGTACTTTTCACCCAGCCGCATCTCTCTTCTCACTCGTTCTATTGAGATTGTTCAGTCTTGGATTGATTCTTTTCCATCGTTCTTCAAATGTGTCAGTTTGTTCCCTCAAACGATTAAATCGATCTTTCACTTGTGTTGTCCCATGAAAACCCTATTTGTATGTGATGGTTGGATTACACCACAAAGAAAGGTCCTCCAAATCTCACCGTGAATCAGTTGTAAAGCACTATTCTGAAATAATGCATCTGCTTGCAATCTTCACCGCCCAAATTTTGCTAAAGAAGAACACCAGACTTTTATGGCAAGGTATTCGCCTCCTCTGTGGGTAGAACAGAAAACACTCGAATACTCCGGTTTACGTCAAAAACCACAACACCGCTTTCATCCACCCGTCAAACAAGAGCCAGATTCCCTCCTTCCCGTGTAATCATTCCAGTTCAGCACTTTTTCCAAAGATAAATCTGCAAGCTTCTCCCATCCTCCAAATGATCCTTAGCTGCAGTCCCTGATGGTC